AATTAAAATACTACATGGATATTTATTTTCAAATGTTTTTCTTTAAACATTCCGCATTTGTGTTAAAAATTAAACTATTTATCATGTGTATGAATATAAACATGATTGCACTTATTAGTAATTATTTATTTGCTTTGAGAGATACATTTACCAAAAATTAAATTGCTTATTAAGTTTAAGAATATAAATATGATCGCACTTATTAGTAATTATTTATTTACTTTAAAAATTACATTTACCAAAAATTGAATTGTTTATTATGTGTATGAATATAAACATGATTGCACTCATTAGTAATTATTTATTTGCTTTGAAAGTTACATTTACCAAAAATTAAATTGTTTGTTGCGTGTAGGAATATAAACATGATTGCACTTATTAGAAATTATTTATTTGTTTTCAGAGATACATTTACCAAAAATTAAATTGCTTATTAAGTTTAAGAATATAAACATGATCGCACTTATTAGTAATTATTTATTTACTTTAAAAATTACATTTACCAAAAATTGAATTGTTTATTACGTGTATGAATATAAACATGATTGCACTTATTAGTAATTATTTATTTGTTTTGAAAGTTACATTTACCAAAAATTAAATCGTTTGTTGCGTGTAGGAATATAAACATGATCGCAACAATTAGTAATTATAATGCAGTATTGCACTTATTAACTCGATATCCTGCATAAATATGCGAAGCTTAAATGTAATGCATGCAAATGAATAAAAATATTACTTTTTATATATCTTGAATATTTTACGATTAAAAACCATTCCACATTAAAAAAAAAAAAAAAAAAAAAAAAAAAAAAAACAACAAATTCAGCTTTTGATAGATGCGATTTCTCTTTATTTTTGACACCCAGAATCGAAAATAAGAAAACTTTAATGTATCTATATGAAAAATGGAAGTCATGTGAAGACAAATCAGCTTATTTCAATATATAACATTTGAAAAATGTATCCGAAACTTGCACTTACGCAGCAGCTCTCCGGGTGAATTATCAGCCGGAGCCATAAAGCGAATTTGAAAAATTGTGGCATGGATCCAAATAAAGTATGGGGATGGATCCTCGCACTAGAGTGGGTTCAAGCATCTGCACAAGTGACAATTGCATGATGAATAGTTGTGGGCCTGCCAGGTTTTTGTTGCAGCGAAAATAAGTCTTCCGGGATATAAATCATTTTAAGAACTACTATCGATGCACGACGGTCTTACATAATCACGAATATCTTAATACATCAAGGCCCCCAGAAATACGAATGGCCCATTTTTAAATTTAGACATACAGGGTGTTTGTAAACTGTTTTGATATAATAATATTTATATAGTATGTATATACATATAGATATAGTAATTTTCAATATAGTAAAAGTTAGAGCCGGTGGTCTTGGTTCAGTGTTGTTCGTGGATACAAACTAAATTATTTCTCAAAATAATGACGCGATGTTTAGCTGCCATATTTATTAAAATTGGAAAGGCAGCACTGCAAAACATAACACACAAAACTCAATTTTGTAACAAATATTTACAAAATCATCTTAATCAAAGATCTTTGTAACCTCCGTACTACCTGGAACTCTTCACTCGATTCCGCACACTCCCTTTTTTCCTTTCTCCCTCTCCCATTATCGGTTCCAAAGCCTAACGGGCGAAAAAAAACGTTTAAGTTCAAAGTCTAACATAAGGGTCAACCCGTCCTTGAAAGGAGGATCAATCATCTTTGAGTTCAAGGTGATAGCTTTTTGTGGAAATGCATGGTGGATCCTTTACTAATATAATTTTCTTTTCATCTTTATAGTACCCTTCAACACAAACAACATTTACTATGGAATTTAAATTCACAGTCCATTCTTTGTGTCAGGGATACTAACAACAAATATCAGGGATAATACAAACATCAAATTAGGCTTCCCAAGTTAAAAAAAAAATTAATCTTTTAACATGTGAAATGAAAAATAACCGACGAAATCGTTATGTGGCATGGTCTCAATTATTTAGATCAGAGAAAGGCACAATGCTGACATTTAGATGTTTGTTTAGATATATCTCGTATACTTAGATGTAAAAAGTGGCGCCCAAAAATGCCAATTCACAAAATGAACGAAAGAGTGGCGCATCCTCTTGAAGACTCTTAATGTTGTCAATCTGTCTATTACAATAATACCATGGTTCATGGTACATATTCAGCATGGTACTATTACAATAGTACCATGCTGAATATACCGGTTCTCGTTAGATCACCGAAGTCAAGCATCATTGGGCGCGGTCAGTACTTGGGTGGGTGACCACCTGGGAACACTGCGTGCCGTTGGCAAATTTGGGACCTGAATGGCCGAGTGTCTAGCGCTCTGGCGCTCGGTGCCACAGGTTTCGGGTTCGAATCCCGGCGGTGCCATGGATGTTTGTAGTGGTTCGGAATCCACTTTAAGCCGTAGGTCCCGGTCTTCTATGACTGTAAGAGCGTCACGGAGCAAAAGTCAGGCTTCTACCTACGGGTGCTCCATCACAACAGAAGCTGCTTCCTTCCCCTTCAATCATGAGTCCATATGGGCTCGTGGGCTTGGCCAGCCAAGTGGGATAAGAAACAACAACAACAACAACAACACAATAATAGTTACAATTTCCGCAGAGTTTGTAGGTATCTCATGCACAAAATGTGCCGTAATAATCTGAAGCTCTGAGGATGTGCCGTTTTTAAGGCATAAGATTTCTTTCTGCTGAACTTTGATAAGACAATCAGCTGCAAATATCGGTGCTGCTTCTATCCAATTTAGGTGTCCGTATGGTAAATGCTTGGCCATGAAGTTCTGAAGAGGTACTACGTTTCCAACATGAAACAAAACGATATCTGAAGAGATGCTTGGGCATGTTGAACAGCACCATGTTGAATCAAGGTTGTCTGCCTACTAGCAGATTTCGAGATTGCTAGTCTACTTACTAGCAGATTTTTTGTTTTCGATTTACGGCGTAGGGTTGGCAGTCCTACTCTACAGCACTCTACAGTTATATTAGTACGGGAGTGGATTGTGGATTAAAGTGGATCCCGAACCCCAACAAACATTCATGGCCCGTGCACCGCAGAACTTTAATAATTTAAAAATTGAAATTACACGCGCAGATATATCTTACTTTTCTGGATTAATGTAAATCTGGAGATTATTTTTGCTGTTTCATTTTAAATACTTTCACAAATACCACGAAATACAAAACTTTTGATGCAGATCAAACTTTATTTCACCGTCATCATCACCATAAGCTTGATGTGTTAGTTTAGAGCTCATTCCAATCAATGTAAACTCTCGAATAATGATAAATAAGAACATTTTAAAGCATGGTTGCATCACAATTACATTTAGAGTATATAAATTTTCACGACTATAACAAATGTTTTTTAAAAAAGCTCATTTTAGTATGTTCCTTCAGTTGTAGACAAACTTGAAAAACTGGTTTTTTCCCCTTCTAGTTATCGTAGAATAGTATGTCACTATACTATTAGGAAGAGAAGAAATGAAAGATTTTTATCGAATCGTTAAAATCGATCATTTTGGCAGCTAAAAGTAAACAATAAAATAAAAAGAAGTACAAAGACAGCTTGATCGGTTGAATTCAATTAAGACCTTCAGCCAAAATTGAATCTGGACAGGATCACGAGAGAAATAAAAAGTTGCAAGTACAGCAAATGAAAGAATATGCAACAACTAACAGACTTGTGTACGCAATTAAATCAGGCAGGAAATAAATGTTGAGGTTTGATGATAAAATTAGGAAATGGATGTTTTTGTATGAGGATGCATGATTAATTCACTGATAAACGATTGCATACAATTTACTCTTGTATGCAATCGTTTATCAGTGAATTAATCTTATTTACAAAAGTGTGATAATATTTTCTACAGAAACCTAATGATAAATATGCAATGGATTCAATCCAAAGATGATTAATTACAGTCGGAATATATTGTACAGCATTCTTTATGTTGACTATAATTTGAAAAGGTTTTACTGCCATTACTAAACATGAAGAATTTCAAATTGTTTCTTCTTTAATGCCAATGGCAATTACAGCATAAACAGTTTTGTATTTTCATGATTTTTAATAGAAAAATTTAATAATAATGATCGAGCATCAATATATATATACCAAAAATGGATCACTCTATATAAAAATTCAACAGATTTAATGTGTTTACTCACATTCTGCGCCTGCATAGGCAACATAAATATCGAAGGGAAGGGAGTTGGGAGAAGCTACTTTATGGTAAGAAAAAATGCACATGAACGTTACTCTTTAAATAAGTATCTCATATCTTCGTTACTTCCGTTCGTTACTAAGACGTTACTTCCATGATTAGAATCCTTCCTTCAAAAAATCGCTGTGAATTATACACAAATGTACGAGTTCTACGTTGTGTTGGAATGATAGTTATGATGAAGACTGGGTTAAAATTTGAGCAGCATTGCGATTCGATTTGGTGGCCAAGATCAACAAACACCTATCCACATGAGAAAATCCGAAAGCGAACGGCTCGATCAGTTCCGGATTATAGAAAGTGCCGAACCATTGAATGTCGGATTAAAGAGCATTTACTGTAAATGGTTTCAATGTCTATCGCTACCACTGTCACTTACCATTTCATGCCATCACGATGTCATTTACCACTAGTACTTATCATTTTACATCGATTTTTTGATAAATTGTGTTGTTTGTTTTGTTGTTGTTTCTTATCCCACTTGGCTGGCCAAGCCCACGAGCCCATATGGACTCATGATTGAAGGGGAAGGAAGCAGCTTCTGTTGTGATGGAGCACCCGTAGGTAGAAGCCTGATTTTTGCTCCGTGACGCTCTTACAGTCATATGAGACCGGGACCTACGGCTTAAAGTGGATTCCGAACCACTACAAAAATCCATGGCACCACCGGGACTCGAACCCGAAACCTGTGGCACCGAGCGCCAGAGCGCTAGACACTCGGCCATTCAGGTCCCAAATTTGCCAACGGCACGCAGTGTTCACAGGTGGTCACCCACAAAAGTACTGACTGCGCCCAATGATGCTTAACTTCGGTGATCTAACGAGAACCGGTATATTCAGCATGGTACGGCCGTTGGCCTCTGATAAATTGTGTTATCATGTAACGCAGAATAAACACATGTTAATATGTGTATAACTGTAGGAATTGTATAACACAGATATATCACGATAGATATACAAAGAAATATATCTAGATTTATATATAGTTTTGTTTATATATCAAACTAAGAAATTAATATTATCGTTGTTTAAAAAGATAATTAAATTTAATACGCATGAAACGTATACGTATAATAAATTTTCAATAGTATAATAAATAATTAATAATAATTTAATAATAATAAAGAATAATAATAATAATTTAATAATAAAAGATCACAATAATTTGATAATAATAAATAATTTAATAAATTAATTAATAAATAATTTTTAATACCATGTAAATATGTATAATAATTTTTCAATACAATAAAAAGTTTCATTTTATTTATATGTTGGAATAAAATGAAAATTTCTCATTTTATTACAAATGCCCATGCCTACAATATTACGAGTCATATTTTTCCATGCATTATTTATCAGAAAGAAAAATAATAAAATTTTAAACTTTAAAAAGCTTTTTCTTTATTGTTTTAGAGGACTATACAAGGCTCTAAATCTTCAAAAATTTGTCAGTAACTTGTTTTAACTTAAAATATGTCAGTATGTATTTGATATTATTCATTTTTGTTTACTTTGTGTAGTTATTGCCGTATATTTCCTTGTATAAGTCGATAATTTTTAGAACGTTTTTTAAAGCCAAATTACACTTATCCCGCAAAAAACGTGGGTACTTTCTCGGGTGCAAATGATAGATCGTTAAAATATCGGTAAATAAAGTTCATCTTTAATGCTTTAATTTGTATTTAATAAGATTATGGAATTTTTTTTATGAAATGAATTATTTGTTTTACAACAAGTAATATAAAAAAAAATTGACTTAATTTTTATATGTATTCCTACTTTTTTTTTCACTATATTGTAGAAAGTCCTTTATAAATAACTTTCATTCACTTTTTTAAGTTAAAAAAATTATCTCTCTCACACACACTTTCCATCACTCTCACTAATTTATTCACATGTTTCATTCTCCATTTTGTTCCCTCCTTGACTCAGACTAGAACCCAAAATGAAAAAAGAAATTTTTTTCCAGCGATCTATACTCTTCTCCACTGACGGTACTTATTCCTAAATTTATATCCTACTAAATATCCTATATAAGAGATTTTTTTTCTCCCATATAAAACTAAAATATAAAACTTTGATAAAACTGTATTAATATCAAGTGTCATCCACTACAAGTTTCAAAAAAAGTGTATTTGAACTTGAGTGGAGGAATAAAAAGTATTTTATTGACGATTGAAAATTTGAACAAGATATAAAAATATATATAGGGAGAGTGTGAACTAATAGTAGGAATTGAAAAATGAGGGGTTTTTTTGGAGTTATTTATATGGCTGGTTTGCTGCGTTGCCACCAAAACGAAAAAAAAAATATGTCTGGCTGACTGAAAAGTACCAAAACGTACACCATAAATAATAGATATAAGGAACTTTATAGAAATTTTTTTCTTTAATTTTGGCTTATATAAAGGTTTTGAACTTTGGGTAAATTTTTTGAAAACAAAATGCACTCTGTCTTATACAGGAATCTGATTAGATTTTGAAGAATACAGTGTATAAAAATTCATACAAATAAGTCTATATTTTATATAAATTAAAATACTGTCATCCAATTAATCTGTAGGTCTCGGTCCAATATAGCGGTTTGTTTGTTTATTTAGTTTGTCGCTCTACGGTCATTTTGTGCACACTTTGGTCCGATTAGACAGTGACCTATAGTTTAACGTGGATTTCGAACCACTCACAAACATCCATGCCACCGCCAGGATTTGAACTGAAGCTTGTGGTACCAAAGGCCAGAGCGCTAGCCAACTGGCCATCAGGCCGCAATATGACTGTAGAGCGTTGAGCGTAGAGATAACACTACCCCATAAAAAGTCAGCGTCACGGAACCAAGTCCCACTTCTATCTACGGGAGCATCACAACAGAAGCTGCCCCCCCCCCTTCTCTCCTTCCATGAGACCACATGTGTTCATGGACTTGGTCTAGATGTTGCTGTCGACTAAGTGGGATAAGAAAAACAAAATACTGTCTTACAAGAATTATTTTATTCTAAGATTATGCTTATTCGGTTAATGCATTTAGAATTGAAATATTTCAAAGACACATATCTATTCAAAAGTGTAGAAATGCAAGCAAAAGGTTTTTAAAATACTTTATTTTCACAACGGATTAATATTAAAAAACTCCATCTAAATAAAAAAAATGTCGAACACAACCGAGTTTATTGCACATTTATTGAGTGCATTGATTAGTTTCACGAGATGAAACAATTAGTTATTAAATTATTATTAGCAATTAGTTTTACATTCTTTTAGATGAAACAATTAGCTATTAAATTTTGAAAGTTTTTCATTCTTTTAATGATCATTAAGAAAAATTTCAGTGGGCAATATGTGTCTGTGGTAAAGTTTCTTTTAATATGAGTGTAGATACTTACATTGAAAATTTGGAAATACACCGGATTTCTTCCTTACAAGAAGTGGGGTGCAATTCAGGTCTAGAATTCAAAATTCATCTTATAGGTATCGATCATGGGTTACAATGATCATCTCTTGAAAATGTTTTTTTATATCACGACAGAAAGTTCAGTGATGAGAAATGAGGGGATGACAATGCTTTCTGGGAAGTCTTTAAGTGGTAATTACCTTGCATTTGCGTGTCGCATGGGTGTATAACTTGAAAAACTGAACTTGCGAAATGATGACTTGTCATTATAACTATTATGATGCGTTTCACGTTTTTAAAAACTTTTGTGTTTTAAGTGACTGCATCGAATGCTACCAGAAAATATGAACCTGAAACCTCCTACACCCTAATTGAGCACGTTACCACTGTATGATGAGCGAACTATTTTATGAAAGGGATTATGTACGTTTTTCAGTCCGTTTGTTAATGAAATAACACAAAGGGATTATAATATGTTGTTAGTAAATTGTCATCATTAAATTATTTTCAGCATTATTTCTTTGTTAAAGTAAGGAACTTCAATACAGAACATTAAAATTCAACAATACATTTTTTTAATCTTAATTACAATCTCCTCTAAGCAATGAAAAGGAAAATTATAACATTTAAAAAGTTAGGAATATATAAATTTTTGTCTGTGATGTCGAAAACTACGCGTTTTAAATAAGGAGCGAAATTCCTGCAGCATTCCATCTGTAGGAGGAGATTAAAAACAATTAACACGAGTTGAATGTTTTGTAATAGTGACAACGATGTTTCAGCAAGATGTCTTAGCTGAATCGGTAGCCATCGGTCGTTTACAGGCGGGTCAAACTCAATCCATTGTAGCGAAAGCGTACGTTAGGAGTATCTCAAAGTGTCATTTCCAGAATAAGGGTCGGTTTTTGAAAACTGGAAATGTTCTCTGAAGATCGGGATAATGTAGTATGCGAGCAACAACACAAAATGAGGATCGGTATTTAACACTACGAGTAACTGCCCGAAGAACAGCCTATGAACTCCACGTCTATGCAATAGTACCTTCAAAGGGCTACTAATACCAGAGTTTTGATTCAGACTGTTTGAAACCGACTCCACCATGTGACTTTATATGCTCGTAGACCTATGGTTTGTGTTTCATCGCCACAGGACCATCGTGCTGCCCGCAGGAGGTGAGCACAGGAGCATCTCAAATGGGGACGACATGAGTGGAACCAACAAACTCTTCAAGGACGAGTCCAGCTTCAGTATATAACCTAACAACAGGCTAATTCTCATTTGAAGAGAACCTGGTTCATGGAATGCTTCTGCATTTATGCTTGAAAGTATCCGACTTGGTGGAGGTGCAGTGATAGTCTGGGCTTGTATGTATATCAATGATCACACTGACCTGTACATTGTTATTAATGGAGCACTAACGGCTCAGAGATATAGAGATGAGATCTTAAGACCTATTAGATCCTTTACGTTGCAGCAATCCGGGATGAATTTATTCTTATGGAGGATAACGTTAGGCCACATCGTGCTTAGCGAATGAACAATTTCCTTTTCGATGGAGGAATCATCCGTATGGATTGGTCTCTTCCCACAGACACGAACTCAATAAAACATGTTTGGGACATTCTAGGGAGGAGGGTTGCTAATCACATATCACCGCCAGAAACAATGCAGCAGTTGGAAAGCTCTCTTTTACAGGAGTGAAAGAAGACAAGGTTCTCTAGAATACTTGCCGTCTTTCATCCTGTAGAAAGAGAGGGGTAAAAGAAAAAAATTTTCCAGTCCCTCATGGATAACTTCATTGATTCTGTGCTTTTTTTTGTTCTGTACTGTCAGGTGAAATCATACCCCATATTAAAACTTTTTTGTATCCCAGAAATCGCATTTTTTGTTTGTTTTTAAAATATTAAGAATTTCATGTTCTTTGTTTACCGACAAATATCGTCAATAAAATTTAATTATTCCTTGTTCGTTGCTTCTTCTTTTCTCATATCTTACAACACCTATACATCATAGATCAGTGACCAAAACAGTCCCTCATATGTAGTTTATATATAAAATCATAATATCCCTTAATTGTTTTGAGCAGTGTATGTTTGACAAATACATTCATTTTATTTGGTGTATTTGTCTGAAAAATAAATATGAAAATGGCCTCCACTTCCAACACTTTCAAAACAATTAATATACACAAGAATACCACATCCACTATCAACGCTAAATATTCAAATGATCAACTCCACTGATTACTACTTACAGACGGCGGATTCTCATAGGCTGCAATACAATTTTTTTTTAAATTGAAAATAATACAGACGATAGCTCTCCAAGTGACCAACTATGCAAGTTATGTTTCTTACTTCCTGGGAAATTTTCTTTGGCGCATTATTGCTGTTTGGCGCTTTTTTTACGCGCAGAAAAACAACAACCAAAGATTTAATTATTTGTAATAAAAATTGTCTTTGAAC